TTTTAAAATATATATATTTTTTTTCTTTAGGATAAGCATTTTCATCAATCACAGTAGCGTGATAAACAATATTACTTAATAAATACTGATTGTTCAATGGGCAAGTAATCTCTGTAATGCAGTTGCAAGTTCTTGCATTCAAGTTTGTATCACTGTGTAAAATCTTGTGGTTATGTGAACTAATTATAGACTTTACATTTTGCATACAGCTATAACTAACTTTGATTAAATTTCTGATAAATATCTTATGAAGTTTATGGTTTACTGGAAAGTGCAGGTCAGTTCAAGTAAATGACTGCCTATTTTTGTTTCCACATTCTGACTAAATGGAGGGTTGTACCATATGACTTTTTGCTTTCGATTTTTGTTTTTATTTGAGGTAACTTGAAGTTGGTATTTCAATTTACAATAGCCACACTTTTTTAAAGCTTCTTTGTAAGGTGGGATAGCATTATAAAAAACAGGTTCATTAACTGACGTGACTAGATAATCTCAATTCAACAGTGCAAGGGAGTCTTTTGATAATACTAGGTGGGTGGTTTGAATCAGAGTGAACATAACTCAGCTCATTGTCGCATTTACGGTATGGTTGAATAGAATTGTTATTGATTCTAATGTCACGTCCAGATAATTAACTATTTTCATATTAAATGGGATGGAAATAAGATTGTTACTTTTAATAATTTTTTTACAAAATGTTTTTTGATTTTCTTCATTTGCTGGTCATTTTTGTTTTTAAATATCGCTAGCCCATCATCATGATATAGATCAAAATCATATATATATATATATATATATATATATATATATATATATATATATATATATATATATATATATATATATATATATATATATATATATATGTATATATATATATATATATATATATATATACATATATATATATATATATATATATATATATATATATATATATATATATATATATATATATATATACACCAAATAGAGATACAAAGCCTCTTGTTTATTTTTTAGAATGATCAATATAATGTAAATTAATTATTTAAAAAATAGATCATCAATTATATATAAAAATTTAACTAAATGAAAAAATACAACTTTATGATAGAACTTAAAGTTTCATGCCATTTCGATACCGGTGATTAATCCAGTTTCTGCATTACATTTTGTTTTGTTTTGACTTCAGAACACATTCTATTATTGTTTTTGTATATTGTATTTTTAACGGTTTTCTTGATTAAAATATATATATATATTATATATATATATATATATATATATATATATATATATATATATATATATACATATATATGTATATATATATATATATATATATATATATATATATATATATATATATATATATATATATATATATATATATATATATATATATATATATATATATATATATATATATATATGGCTGATGATTGCCGAAATGACATAAAACTTTAAGTTCCATCATAAAGTTGTAACTTTTTATTTAGTTAAATTTATATATATACATATATATATATATATATATATATATATATATATATATATATATATATATATATATATATATATATATATATATATATATATATATATATCAGGCCTTGTTTTAAATAAAAAAAGTGCTTAATGCATTAGCTTAACGCGATTTTGACGTCATAAAATTATCTTTATTTTTTTTTATAGACGTTAAGTGTTTTAACTACCGCAATAAATAAATAACCGCAAACTAGTTCTATTTAACAATAAACTTAAATAACTATAAACGTTTTAAATGTAAATTTATTATGAAAAGTTTGAAATGTTTTCAATTGTTACTTTATTATTATTTTAGTTCAATTTTATTTAGTAAAATATATATATATATATATATATATATATATATATATATATATATATATATATATATATATATATATATATATATATATACATTTTAATTATTTCTGAAATTTGTTTTTGAATAATTATTGTTTATAAATCGTCATTGAATAAAAAATAATGATTTTTTTTATTTTAAAAAATTTCTGGAGTAAACAAAAAATATTAACATTGATAAACAAAAACCCATGTTAATTATTTGAACAGCGATTTTGTTTTGACTAGCAAAGAATAATTTAGGTTTTTAAACATTTTTTAAATTTATCTTGCTTAGCGTTTCAACTTGTATTATATAAAAATATAAGTTTTGTCTGCTTTGAGCATATTTTTGATACATAGTTTAGAATGCGCTGGCCAGGAATTTAATTCATAAATTTTTATGTTGTTGTAAAAATGTTTTACATTTTAAACAAATCACAAAGAAACAGGGCTATAGAGAAAAATCGTTTTTAACGATTAAATCTTTTTTTTTTTAAATTTTAGGAAATTAAAAAAAAAATTAAATTAACTTACCTTTACATTCAAAAAATTAAATTAACTTACATTTACAAAAATTGAATTAACTTACCTTTACATTTTGATGAAGATCATTAACTTACATATACATAAAAGTCTTAATTATGCAAACTCTTTTGTTAATTATTCTTAAAACAAAAAACAAATACTTATACGCAAAACTTTAATCGTGCAAACTTAAAAAAATACTTAACTAAAATAATTTAAGTATATTTAATAATTTGAATTGTATCTGTTTATAATATACATTCGTAAAAATTTGTTTATTAAAAATTAAGTTCCTTAACTTATAAACAATCTCAAAAGTATTTTCATTGTACGTATAATTACAAAACTCTTTTTTTTCGTTTGTAAGCAATTTAACTTAATAAAATAAAAAAATAATAAATATGAGGTCATCTTTGTTAAGAACAAATTTAATTTATTTATTAAACTATATATATTTTTTTATTTATATATCAATTTAATTAAAATATAGTAACATTTTAAAATATTTTAACATGACTTGTGTTATTTAAAAAACGTAGGGCAGCTACCCTTACGGCACCATTGTTTTTGGATAATATTTTATTTTGATGAAGATCATATAACTTACATTTGATATTAATAGCGTAAGTCTTCTCTTTTTCTGTGATCATCGCATCGGCAAAGTATCGGCAAAGTCCCAAGATTTAAAAGTTTTTAAAGTAAATCTTTGATCCTTCAAAATACAATCTGTATTCGAACTTTAAACAATTCAGAGAGAATAGAAATATACAAGGTTTTTATATACTAGTTTGTCTTGTTTTATAAAGCAAAATACATATTCATTAGTAAAAAATAGAGACTGTCATTAAACTAAAACGTACCTTAGTATTTATTTAACAGAATCTGTAATGTGCGCGTACATAATGAAAATACTATAAACCTTATATAAATATATTCAATATAATATTAGTGTCATCAGCGGATGTTGTAGTCTACTCGTGATTTCTTTACCTCATAATATAATTTGATTTATGAAAAAAACTTATTGAATCGCATGCAGAAGAAATTTAACAAATTGTCTTCATTCAAAAATTGCGAGTAACAGGTAATTTTTTATTCTGTGTCAGCCCCCTCACCCCACATAACTTAAAGGTAAAGGTAATCTATATACCTTAAACTAATAAGAAAATCAAAGAAAAATAATTAATGAAGTAATTTTTAGAAAAATAAAAATAGATTTTTCATTCATTGGCACATTTTTTTTAATATCTCAAAAAAATGTCTGGTTATCATGATAACAACAAAATTAAGATATTTTTTGAGATATTAAAAAAAAATGTTAACCCTTAAGGCCTGATATATATATATATATATGTACATTTTGTTCTTTATTACAATATTTAATACACAGATACAAATATATAAAAAGGTTAGGTCTTGCTACAGAACTGCTGTTAAAGAAAATAGAACTTTAAAAAAAATTTTCAACTTTATTATGGTGTTTACTTGCATCTATTGAACTACTGAGTCTTGCAAGCATGAATGTTCAAAATGTTCTTAATAAATATCACTAAATCTTATTTGTCAAATATTCAAAAGCTTGAAAAATGACAAACAAATTGTTCAAGTAATGATTCATTCCTAAATGAGATTATCAGAATGTAATTCCTATTACATTCTGATAATCTCCTGCTGCCAAGTCCTTGTATTTCTGACAGAAGGCCATACGATCTCTAATATTCTTTTGCGAAAAGCAAGTTTTGTTTGCAGGAATATAGAACAATTTGTTTGCACAAACAACTTCTGATTGGTTAATTAATTTGTCAACTACTTTTCAAAAATAACGTTTTTTTGTAGCAAACATCATGGTTTTGCTCCAAATAAATCATGTACAACTAATTTCTGGAAACTATAGACTTGGCCACCAAAACCGATGGCAAAGAAAATACCACTAGATATTGTATTTCTCAACTTTTCACATGCATTTGATTTAGTACAGCATGTAAGTTTTATTGAAAAACTGAGCAAGTATGGCATAACAGTTTATCTACTTGCTTAGATTTGCTCATTTTTAACACATCCACAATAGCAAGTCCTTCTAGGCAATACATCATCAGGACGGGCACCAGTGTCTAGTGGTGTCCAAGAATCTTTGTTAGGACTAACTCTATTTACCAACTTCATAAATGACCTTCCAGACAGCATTAACTCTTGTTGCAAAATCTTTGTGGAAAAAATTATTATCATTTTCCATTTGTAGTTGTTGCTGTCTGTTTAACTTGTGTTCGCTTGTAAAGTTTCCATACCGCCATTTTCTTATTTTATAATAGTCAAGAATTTTTTTTACAATCAGATGTCCTTCTGTTGTTAACATTTTGATGCAAAGCAGGACTAAGTATTTTTATAGTGATACTACCATTAGAAAAATAATCATAATAATTATGATCAAATGTTTATGAACTTTACCTACTTTTTCCCTAAATTACACAGGAATTTTATTTTAAAGTTTTCCTTATTATAGGTGTGCTGCCTATACCGTGGCTCAACAGCCTCACATGCTCTAAATTTATACATTATATATTATTATAATCTATATATTATATATAGTCTATATATTATATTTGTACATTTAATGGAAATTTTACCTAGTATGAACTGCTGAACCAACCTCAATAAGCATTTCAACAATTTTAACATGACCTTCCATTGCAGCAAGATGAAGAGGTGTGTTTGAAGAATCATCAACATCATTAACAATGCTTAAAACATTTGACAGTAAGAGTTGAACAATTCTGTAAATTAAATTTTTTGTTTAAAAGAAAAATACACTTTGAAATTGATTTGAAACTCAGAAATCAAAATTAGCATAATAAACAAAAATAAGATACAACATAAAACTATGTTCTGATAAAAATTGACACTTTTTTGATTTGAAATTTAATTGACACTTTTCTTAGACACTCAAGCCTCGAATGATTATATTAAAGCATAAAATAATTTTATTATCAAAATAAAGTTGTTTTAAACAATTTGTTCATAATATTGATTATGAACAAATTAAGTCGTTTAACATAAAAAATAAAAATAAACTGTTATTTGTTATTGAAATCATTTCATAATATTAAAATTATTTCCTTAATTTTTGCTCATATAAGCTTTTGAGTTGATAAAACATGTTATTATTTGAGCGTATGTTTTCTATGATTTTTTTGTATTTTTATTTGTTTTTTCTATTATTGTTATTTTTTTTCTTTATTCTGTTATCTTTATATACTTTCTTCCACTACATTTTGTTTCATCTCTTTGCTATTTATATTTTTCATAGCTTTAAGTAAATAAGTTTAATTTATTCTGTTTGTCAATGAGACAAACAGAATAAATTAAATCTGTGACAATAAATAAGATTATAGGTTGACATTAAAATTTACTATCCTTTCTTCCTACTTCAAATCAACTTATTTTAAATTATCTATTTTCGAATCGGTCTTAAGATATTCAAATAATTTTTTTTGTTTTAACTTGCATACCTATATTTATATATGCCTCTATTTATATATTATTATAAATATCGTTATTTATATATTATTATGAAAAAATATTTATAACCAAGATTTTATTTAAATTTCAGTTTGCTTATATTATTGTAGGATTTAAACAAGTTTTCTAACTTTTTCTAATGAGTTTTTCTTTTTATTTACTTTTTTTTTCTGTTGTTGTTTTTAACTACTGTTACTAGTTGCATTGCACTTGAATTTTTAACCTGTTTGTTTATTCTAATTATTTTTTGAACGTTAATCTTTCTGACCATTTATTTCTATTTTCTTTTTATTTTGTGCTTTTGAAAAAATTAAATTCATTAGCCAATGCAAATGTACGCAATAATCTGTTATGGAAAACGAAAGAACATTCTGTGAGAATAAACATCAAATGTACAAATGTGAGCAAAAAAAAAACAAGTGAAAAAGAAAATAAGTGAAAAACATATTTTTGAATTAAAGTTTATTACATTGAAGTTTGTATATATTTGTTTTTGGAACTTATCACATTGGAGTTTATTATATTAAAGTTTATATATAATATATTTGTGCAGAAGATCTTTTTATTAGAAGTCACTTATATTGTATTAAAGTGTTTTTTTGTTTTTAAAGAAATCTTCGTCATATTCTCCAAACTGTTTTAATTTTTTCATGAAAAATCTACAAGCTAACCAGTCAAGAAAATCAAAACTATATTATTCAAGGTTTTTTTCTGAACCCCTATGCAGCATACAAGTTATACATAAAACTGGATAATGGAGATGTTGGATTTGAAAACATTCAGAGATAAAATTCAAAAATATGTTGGGTCAGCAACATTTTTCTTAAAGTTGATGGGGTCCACATTAATGATCAAATTTTGGTAGCAAGTTATCGTCCTTTTGGAGTAGATGCAATGCTGAGTATGAACACAATAGAGTTACTAGAAGGAGTTACCATTCTTTGGTCTGAATGCATTTTGAAAATGTATGTGCAGGAGTGGAAAATGAAAGTAAAACATTATTTGAGACCAAGAAATGAGACCATGAGGCCACTATATTTACTCAACATTATTTTGCAACAGGTCAACAGAAATTATGAGAATCATTTGATGATTATATCTAAGCACTTAAAATACTTGCCAAAGATTGTAACTTTAAAGAAGTTACTGCATTACAAAACCATTTGTGACCTATTTTATAAGTGGTATAGCATCTAATAAAATTTGCAACTGATGAAAATAGAAACATATTAGAGATTTGACAAATTTAGAGTTTAATACAGGGCTGTGGAGTCGGAGTTGAAGTTGTGAAGTTACAACATTTTCAGCAGAGACGGAGTCGCTAAACAAAATTGTGACTCCAACTCCAATAGTAAAACTTCTTGGTATTGCACGTGCATGTACAAAACATTCAATTAACCTTATGTTCATACTAAACCTCAAAGAACGTTTCATAAATTTGTTAAAAAAAAAATTTTAACTTTGTGTGTAATATTTTTTAAAGAATTCTAAGAGTTTTTCAAAAATTTTGATTTGGAGTTAGAGTCGGAGTCAAAGTTGTACTCAAAAAGCTTTAGCTACTGGAGTCGGAGTCGAAGTCATTACTTTTTTTTTACAACTCCACACCCTTGGTTTAATAGGAAAGAATGGCAAGTAAAATGGAAAAATAGAATCTGCGAATACGCTGGCTCAGTATACAGTTCCAGAAAACATTTAGCAAGAGTACAAGAGCAAAATACAATGGAATAAAACAATTCAATAAAATAAAGACAAAGTTTGGCCAGTGTTAGATTGGAGAGCCCTGAACAAATTCATTGAGGAATTCACAAGGGATTCAGACAATTATGCAAAGAAATCTAGACAGTGGAAAAGAATGGATGACAAACCTGCAAATATCAACCTGAGCAAAGCACATCTTTAGCTGAAAATGGACAAGACATTGTTGCCAAATCAAACAGTGATGTTTCAGAACCAAAGGTACTGTCTGACAGGACTTGAGTTTGGACTCAATGTGATATTAATGATTATGAAGTCTGTGATAAGACCCATTGTTGAGCAAGTTAAAGGGTGAAGAAAAAACTTCAACATAGGTCGATGACATTTTTGTTAATGAGAATGTAGTGAGTATAGATTTTGTAATAAAATTTTTTTTGAAGTATAGTTTAAAAAGCAAAGACAGGTAATAAATTGATGTTCATGGAATCCAAGTGTTCTGATTGATGGTGAAGAGAATGGGAAGATTTGTTGTGGTCAAGGGAAAATAAAATGTGTGAAATTCCACAGAAACTATCAAGGAAGATGGTGATTTCTATTTGCGGACAGTTTATAATTGTAAATTACTGATGAGGAAGTACAACATGTATTTTGGAAGGTAATAGCAAGGTGAAAGAACTTGAGCCTGCTCATGTACATTGGAAGTGTGAGGCAGCGAAGGCAAAATGTGGGTTGATCGCAGTTCTTTGGCATTAGGAGCTTTTGTCCAAATTGATGGAGTCACCATTGAAGACACAACATGGTTGCGCAAGAACCAATCTGAGGTTCAGATAAATATAGTGAAATTGGACGCCGTTTTGTGTGGTATTAATATGGCATTGGCATGGAAACTTAACAGACTTAAAGTATCTGACTGCAACAAAAGATGTACGCAAAATAAATTACGAGTGTGAACCGTGTCAATCAATAGATCAGCACCTGTCAAATAAACGCATGGAAAACTAGAAGTCAACAAAAATTGGAAAAGATTTGGGATAGATATTACTCATTACTGAGAGGATCATTATCTGAGTTTGCTCAACTGCAGCCACTCAAGGTTCACATTGTGGGATTGCTATCACATTTGCAGGGAAGCATTGAGGTGATTTGACACCTTCATATTTTGAAAAGGAGGAGCACTGGAAGAAATTCTGACAGATATTGAACTCAGATTTATATTCTGACAGATATTGAACTAATGATTTTGAACTCAGAAATGAAGAGATTGTAAAATGTTTAGAGAAATGGGATGTAGGCTTAAGACATTGAGCAGCGTATTAGCTTGTAAGCTCATAAGACGTTAACTTTCCATCACTTGACTTGTCATTCAGCTAAGTCTCATTCCTTTACTGTGTCTGTCCCTGCATGCTCTAAAAACTTTTATTTGTCTGGTTTTTTTCCTTGCACTTCAACCCTTTAAAACTGAGTAAATTGCTTAACTTTACTTGGATAAAAATTTGAGCAAAACTGCTGAAGTTTTTATTCACTGACCAATTATTGAGTAAAAGCAATTGCTCATTTTTATTCACCCACCTTAAAAGTCTAAAAAGATTTCAATAATTATCATTTTGATTATTTGAAAAAGAAACAAACTATTTTATTAACTCAAATGACTTTTACAAATCAAAATTCATCAAAATTAAAAAAGACACTTCTTTTTCTAATTATATACTTTACAATAACAAGAAAGCCTACTCTCACATTGAAAAAGTCATTATTTTTCAACAAATTCTTTAGTACATTTAAGTTTAATTCCAATTGTGTACTTAATGATTCTCATATATTTATTTATAATCACTTCAATAATTTTAAAATATCTAGTGATACAAAAAATTCTTATTTCTTTGTTGATGCAATCAAAAATTTAAAAGAAAAAAGCAATTACTATTAAATTAATTTTTTAATTTAATTTTTTTAATTTTAATTATTCATCTCCCCAAGGCCCGAAGGGGCCACTACAGTCGAGGAGGCTACTCGTTTTTTTTTTTTTTTTTGTTGTAAATTGTGGTACAACCCTCTCTCAACTCTTTAACTCCGAAACACGAACCTTAACAAGCAAAGCCGCTGTGCGGAGAAATTAAGTTAAGCGCGGTACTTCCAGGGACATGGTGGGAGTCGAACTCCGAACTTCTCGCTTACAAAGCAAGCGCTCTTACCACTACACCACTACCACATATATATATATATATATTGCATATATAATATATTCAACAAATGGCTAGAAACAGGCAGTATTCCAAATTAATTCAAAATAGGTAGTATTACGCTACTCTATAAACAGAAAGGTGAAATTCATGATATCAACAGTTATCAAAGTTTAACTATAAATCTCAGTTAACAAAAGTGTTTGAATGACAAATACTAAAAGCAAAAACTTTTTAAACTTCAAAGTATCCAACAAACATTATGAACAGTCATTTAAGACTTTCTTTCTTTTCAGCAATATAATAAATAACTATTGCAATAACAACATCAAATTAGAACCAAAAGAATTTAATGATCTATTTTTATTTAACAACATCAACTCAATTTATAACACATTCAATTATTAACAAAATTAGGTTTGAAAAAGTTAACCATCAAACCATAAATCTGTTAAAAACTAGGTTTAATGTCAAAATAAACAGATTATATAACTATATTGACTTTTAATATAAGCAAAAAAATTAGAAAAAAAAGAAAGACAAACATTAATTAACTTATTTTAACAATATATAAAACTTAAAATAACTTACTATACTACTTGTATCTCATATTAAAAACACTTCTATTCACCAACAAGGGTAAAAGACATATGGTCCATAAAATTGAAGTAAAGAAAAAAACAAAACAATTATTGATCACTAAATAATTGAATTATCTGTCTTGATTGTAAAGACTCATGTTTTGGAGCTAATAAGCTGATGGAGGTTGCAACAACTATTCAAGCAATGGTCTAAGGGAGGTAAATGCAAACAACTTATGCATGTATACTTCAAATTTAAAAGATGTGGGAAACCACAACAATAAAAACTTTACTCTAATAGACAAAAAAAAAAAAAAGCTATATTAGTAACACTACATACAGTTTCATTACACATTCATTCAATGTAAAAAAAATCTAATTTTCTTATGTCATCAAGTATTTTTATAATAGTTACTTAAAAATTAAAATACATGTATGTTTTAACTTTAAATACTTACCATATAAACATGAGCATCTGTTATACACACATGCCAACTTAAAAGTGTTTGAGATCGACAATATTTTAAAAAGATTTTAAAAAAATTTTTAGACACAATACCTGTATATACATAAATATATAGAGAGAGAGAGAAAGAAAGGATACTTTTACATTATTGAGTGATTTTTTTCTTGTTTTTCTTGTTGGTAATCAATTATGATTAATCCTCTCCATACAGGAGACAGAAATAAAACCTTAGTTGTCCATTTAGTTAAACTTTTAATTTAAATTAACAAAATGGAAAAAGTTAAAAAAGTGTCCTGATATAGTACTATATGAAAATATCTGGATATAAAAAAAAAAAATATTGATAAATTATGAATCTTCAGATGAAGGTGGTCTCAGAAATTCAGTAAATAATTTTAATTCAAAATTTTATTATTTTTCCTTGAAATTAAGTACAGTATAGGGCTTTTTTTATAAGGGCCTACTAGCAATACATATATTTTTGACAAATATAACAAACAATGTAACACTAAACTACTACACAATGTAAAAATGCTCAAATAAATAAATTTAAAATATCAAATTGACATGGTATTATATACTGATGTATTACATTACCAAAATTAAAATAGTAATTTTCTCATAGAATAAGGATAATTTCTATATATAATGAGTCACAGTTGTTAGAAGTACAACATGACAAATAAATATTTTTATACAGTATGCCTAGATTTATAACTAACTTATAGCTAATTGAATTTTTTTATTTAAAATAAGTTAAATTGGTGTTTATCCATGTAATTTTGCTTTTAATGATCATATACTAAAAATATATTAGAAAAAAAGAAAACTATTCCAAATTTATGCCAAAAAAAAACTAAAAAATTACTAAAAAAAGCAAAAAAAAAGCAAAAAATATATATATAAATAAATAAATATATATATATATATATATATATATACACGCATACACACACACATTAATATATATACATATGTATATATGTGTATATATATATATATATATATATATATATATATATATATACATATATACATATATGTACTATAGTGTATATCGATAACATATTGTATATATACATTCAAATTTTTGGCTGACTAACCTAAAGTGACCATTCTTTGCAGCAAGATGTAGAGGAGTAAGACTTTCATGACATTTTGCATCAATACACGCCCCTAAGTTCAAGAGAGTCTAAAAAAAATTTAATTTTAAATAATGCAGCAAACATTTTGCACACCAAAGACATTTAAACAATGTAAACACAAGCCTTTTTTAGTATGCTTAGTATTCAAATGGAAATAAAAATTAAAACAAAGTGATTTAATGAAAAATTACAAATTAGTGTGTTGCTAATTATCTTCACAAACTTATTCACATCAGCAATCAAGAATTGCAATCAAAACATACAAAATATACATCATAATTCGTCAAAATAAAAATTAAAAAAAAATCATATAAATCATCAGACAGTTTAGTAAAATTCAAAAATTAATCATCCATTACTCCAAATAAAGCCAATAAAATACTTGATACACTTAAACTTTTTTAGTTAGTCATTTATCAAACCTCTTAACTACAATTAAGTTTGTTAGCCTCTTTTACATAGAAATCGTCAATGTCTGCTGATGCCTACACCAGAAAAATGAGGGCATAAATTAATCTTTTTGATTTTGATAAATAGATAACTTGAAGATAACTTTTTTTTTAAATAACCTTTAAAAACAAAGCAAACTCAAAATTTTTTGTTTGAAAAAAAAAACAAATACTTTCAGCCATTTTGTATTGGCCCTTTTAATTCAGGAAAGAGTAGAAGGTAGAATTTTATATTATCATTATTCATATGTAAAAAGTTGTCTAAAAGTTATCTAAAGCACCAAACACTATGCCTTATAGACTCATAGCAAGACAAAATATATTTTTATATATTTTGTCTTTACTTAAAGAGTAGAAGGTAGAATTTTAGATTATTTCCAGGTTCTAATCGATGTAAATTTTATATTATCATTATTCATATGTAAAAAGTTGTCTAAAAGTTATCTAAAGCACCAAACACTATGCCTTATAGACTCATAGCAAGACAAAATATATCTTTATATATTTTGTCTTGCTATGAGTCTATAAGGCATAGTGTTTGGTGCTTTAGATAACTTTTAGACAACTTTTTACATATGAATAATGATAATATAAAATTTACATTGATTAGAACCTGGAAATAATCTAAAATTCTACCTTCTACTCTATTCTACCTAGACAATAAGCAAAAAAGCCAATAAGTTCCTTGCCATAAACAATGAGACTAATAATTGAGACAAAAAAAAAAAAGTAAATTAAGTAATTAGGTACTTTAATAAATTTGTTTTAAATTATTTTTTTAATTGCTAAAATTGATTCTTTGTTTTAAAAAATAAGAAGATGACTAATGAAATCTTTTTTTTTAAATTAAAAAGAAAAAAAAAAATTTTTAAAACCTTAACTTACTTGAACAATATTATCATGTCCTTCTTTTGCTGCAATATGAAGTGGTGTCATACCATACTTATTAATTTCTTCCAAAAGATTCTTAATATCATACTTACACAAAATCTAAAATAGGAAAATGGAAAAACTCTAACATTTTTGTCAACATAAAAAATGAAAATAACAAACCATTGCCACCAACAAAAATTTTGTTTTTTAATTAAAGTAATGGTAACTAATAAAAACATATCTTTTTCATTTAAAAAAAAACATTAAGTTCATACATTACAAAAAACAAAATTTATAGCTATAAATATTTACCTCTAATGCTTCTTTAGAATTTTCTTCAGCAGCTAAAAATAAGCATGTTTTATCATTTGCATCTTTTGCATATATGCTTGCAGAATATTCAAGCAACAATTTTACTGATTCAAAATAATTTTTACGCACAGCTATAAGTAAGGGTGTTTCATTGTCTTTATCACAACAATCAACATGTACTCTTCTGTAAAAGAGAATAAATTTTATACTACTATTATGATATACATAAAACTTCACCAATAGCACAATACTAAAATCAGGAAAGGGTCTTAAGTAAATACAGCTTATGATATGGAAAGTACCTACATATATAAAAGATCAATCACAGTAAGTTACTGTAATTGATCTTTTATATATGTAGGTACTTTCCATATCATAAGTTGTATCTACTTAAGACCCTTTCCTGATTTTATTATTGTGCTATTGGTGAAATTTTATGTATACCATACATAAAAAGCTGCATCTTGAATATAACTACTTTTTAAAAAAATTATTATAATAATTATAATTATTTTTATTATTATATATATAAATAAATTCACACAAAATTTATGACCTTTGTAACTTGAAATTGTAATTAAAATTACAAGTTATAAATTAAAACATATTAAAAAAATCAGGGGGTTCAAACTTTGTATAAATATAAGTATTATTTAAATATTTTATCAACTTGTGACTTTCACGTTTAGGGCAGTTGTGGCCAAAATTTTAGATTTTTTTTGTTCCCAGGCTCCAATCATTGCAATTTTTTGCAAAGCATCTTTATTTAAAATAAATATTAACATATAAATGTTTGAAACTTGTTCCATGTCTAAAACATAGCTACTTTTAATATCAAATAACGTTGGATCCACATTTATATATATATATATATATATATATATATATATATGTATATATATATATATATATATATATATATATATATATATATATATATAAATATATATATAATGTGATGTATTCCTCGATACTGTGGAAACTATGACACTAAACATAAAGTAAAAGTTTTTAGGTTTCCTCTAATGAAGAAGAAAGAAACTGTTGGACAAATTCAGTTCCAAGAAATTTTCCAAGTAAACCAGATAATGTTGTCTGTCAAAGACATTTTCCAAAAAATTTCTTAAAAACTATTTTCAATGGGAAAGTTAGATCAGTTAAACATCCTTCAATTTTCCAAACATTTGGCCTAGTGTGATATCAACTCAACCTTTAAAACCAAGATCCACTACTAAAGTGTTGTTTTCTATCAGAAATAAAAAGTGTGAGAAATCACATTATTTAAAAAACAATTTGTTTATGTTCTTTTTTTTCTGTAAAGATATTAAAAATCATAAACTTATTAGTCCTGTAACAACGTTTGTTATAAATGATGTTTTGCACATCCAATCAAACTCTTTTTATGTTAACTTTATACATAGTTTGCTGTTTATATCTCAAACAATTTCAAATTTGAAAGTTTTCATGCTGGTGTTGGTTGTTTTATTTCTTCACTATCTAAAAACCATATTATATATCTTGATTGCTAGTCAAGAGTTGAAAAAATAATTTGTTTCCTGAACAACATTAAAATTGATCACCAAAAGTTGATATTACAAGATCTTTTTAAATTTATGAACGCATCAGAAGTAGGTAAAAAAAAATTATAAAAAAGATAATCATCAAAAAGTATTGTTATTTCCAATGTCTACAAAAGGATTTTAAACTCTATAGTGTTAAAACACTGACAAATATTACACCCGTTTCAAATACTGACTTAATCAGTACCATATTTTCAAATTTAAAGGAGAATCAGAAAAATTGTATACTCTTGGTGGATGAAGTTTTTGTAGTCTTTCCTTCTTTATCATGGTAGTTTTTTTTTAAAAAAAGCAAAAAAATAACTTGGATGCTTCTATTTTGTTTAAGCAAGTATGTTGTCATTAACTCAATTAATTTTAGCAATGGAAAGGTTATTTGAGTTATTTTGATTCAATGAAACAAATCAAGCTTTGTTTAAACTATTTGAGAAAGTTGAAGAAAAATTATGGTTAACAAAAGGTGGAATTTTTCTTTTTTTCAATTATGTTCATCTACTAAAAAATATCAGGAATAACTGAATTACAGAAAAAATGTATGAACTACTATTTGAGAAGAACCAAAACAAGACTGCTAATTAGAGTGACTTTAAATGAATCTTTGATTTCGAGAAAAACCAGCTAATTAAATTATTGAGACTAAATTTTGTATCTATACATCCATTTTGTATCTATACATACATTTGTATTTATACATTTATATAACAGTTCAAAATTTTGTTGAAAAGTTAAAATTTGACTAAACTGTTATTGCAATTAAAAATAATGTTACAGATTATGATATCGAGCTTTCTTGTCAAAAATGTGGCTATTTTATATGTAAAGAATATTGTGACATCCTTAATTTATTACCTGAACTAGAACCATCTTTGACACTCAGTACAAAAATGACTGTGCTTTATATTGCAAGTTATGCTACAAGAAAAGATAATTTTAGTGAAAATGATTTGTTTAATGATACTGCATTTTGTTTCAGTTATATGGACTATACAAAAATTACAGACCATGGTGAATTGAATGTACCTCTCAATTGCTGTGTGCAGAGGGAGTTTTTTTGTTTATTATTTTTGAAATTGAGGAAAATAAAATGCGCAATAAGTAGTTGTTTAATACTTTTATGATGATAACTGATATTTATAACTTTAACTATTTATAATGTTAAAGAAACATGGTACCATATTATCAAACATATTTCTTCAAAATTATTGTTTGCTTTTTTCACCAAAGTCCAATAAGGAAACTGCTTTAAAGGTTTTAAAGTTATCTAAATAACTTTGAAAAAATTATTGTGCACATTTTTGTATATTTTGATGTTTTTTTTTCTTTCTTTCTTTTGCATTATTTTAATATTTTTTCATTTTTTTGTGATTTAGATTTTAAATAATTGCAACTCATTTATTTTTTTGAAAATATTGTATTTTATACATAAAATTCAGAGTTCCATCAAAAGTTGTTTTTATTCATTTTATATAAATAAATATTGCTCTATTATTTAATAGTATTAAGCACTCTCAAACGCACAAAAGTATTTGTATAACTATTATTATACCAAACAAAATTTTTTATCAATATGTTAAATCTTATAATTTTACATTTAAAAGTTTAAATAAAAATGCTTATTTAATTTTGAATTTGTGTAACATAAGTTAAATGTTTGCAAATTAAAACCTAAAGGTTTTGACACTTTTTTGAAAATTTTTTACTACTTACATGACAAAGAAATATATTCAAAATTTGCTTTACTCTTCAAGAAAAAACTGTTTTTAAACTTTCTTAAATTTTGAAGAAAAAATCTATACTTTTATGTTCTTATTAGATGAATCTGGGGTAGGGGGTGGTGGGGGGAGTGAATATACTGTGTATGTAACACATACACAGTATATTCACTCCCCCCACCATATACTGTGTATGTATATATAGTGTCAAAACAACATGTTTCTTTTTTTAAGTTGTTCATTCTAATGAAACTTTTTTATCTATTTTTATCAAAATAAGTACTAAATTTACAAATCTTGTTAAAAGTTTTGATGCTAGTCAACAATTCACAGAAATCCAACTTGAATTATGTAATTCTTAAATTAATCTTGCAAAAAAAAATTGAAATTATTAGCTAAGATATTAAATAAATAGAAATAATACTGGATAATTGATCTTGATAGTTTGGCTGATGTAAATAATCAAAGCCTTTAATTTAGTATCTTAATTGCCCATTAAATATTTTCATGTTTATGCAAAAAAATCTATAATAATATTCTTTTTATAAAAGAAATATTTTTAGTATATTTTTTTTAATACAAAATATTATTTCTTTTGATAAAAGAAATAATATTTTCAATATATATATATATATATATATATATATATATATATATATATATATATATATATATATATATATATATATATATATATATATATATATATATATATATATATATATATACATATATATATATATATATATATATATATATATATATATATATATATATATATTTATATATATATATATATATATATATATATATATATATATATATATATATATATATATATATATATATATATATATATATATATATATATATATATATATATACACATATATATCACAAAAAGCCTACCTCACTAACAAGAACTCAATAATTTCAAAGTGATTAAACAATGTAGCTTTGTGCAATGGTGTTTCCTGCAGAGAGTTCTTTGATTCAATGTTAGCACCACTTTCAACAAGAAGCTTTGCAATCTCAAAAAACCCTGAGGTGCAAGCAAGATGAAGAGGAGAATTCATGTTTGCTTGTACTAAGTTTACATTAGAACCTTTATCGATACATAATTTGACTATATCTATGTGATTGTTCTCAACTGCAAGATGAAGAGCAGTTTGTTCATTTCGATTAGATGCAAGAAATAACTTGGCAACCAAACAATAACCACCTTGATTCTCAGCATGATTGAAAAGTAGTTGAACAATATCTACCATATAAAATAAAATTCAAAAAACTAAATAAATTAAAATTAAAAAAAATCATAATCAATTGAATTTGTTTATATTCAATAAAATAATTTTTTAATAAATTAACTATAATGAAAACATGTTATAATTAAATTACTTCTTATATTATTTAAAGATTTTTCTTTTGTGATCTTGTTTGTTTGTAATAATAACTTGTTGGTATTAATAAAAATGTTTTATCAAAAAAAAATAGTAAATTTAATAAAACAAACCATCTATGTAATGCTAAATAAAAATTAGGCTTCATAACCCAAATGCTATGACTCCTTTTTTTTTTTAATTAGATATTGAATTAATTTTTTTCAGCTAATTGCAACAATCTAGATCAGCCTTATTTATGAATGGTAATGAACTCAATGAGTAATCTACCCTTCATCTATTAGAATTAATTCTTACTTCTTATCTTTCTTGGAAACCATATATCAATTCAATTGCAAAATTAGCATCTGCTAAGGTTGCATATCTTTATCTTTAAGGTTGCATATCTTTATCTTTAAGGTTGCATATCTTTATCTTTAAGGTTGCATATCTTTATCTTTAAGGTTGCATATCTTTATCTTTAAGGTTGCATATCTTTATCTTTAAGGTTGCATATCTTTATCTTTAAGGTTGCATATCTTTATCTTTAAGGTTGCATATCTTTATCTTTAAGGTTGCATATCTTTATCTTTAAGGTTGCATATCTTTATCTTTAAGGTTGCATATCTTTATCTTTAAGGTTGCATATCTTTATCTTTAAGGTTGCATATCTTTATCTTTAAGGTTGCATATCTTTATCTTTAAGGTTGCATATCTTTATCTTTAAGGTTGCATATCTTTATCTTTAAGGTTGCATATCTTTATCTTTAAGGTTGCATATCTTTATCTTTAAGGTTGCATATCTTTATCTTTAAGGTTGCATATCTTTATCTTTAAGGTTGCATATCTTTATCTTTAAGGTTGCATATCTTTATCTTTAAGGTTGCATATCTTTATCTTTAAGGTTGCATATCTTTATCTTTAAGGTTGCATATCTTTATCTTTAAGGTTGCATATCTTTATCTTTAAGGTTGCATATCTTTATCTTTAAGGTTGCATATCTTTATCTTTAAGGTTGCATATCTTTATCTTTAAGGTTGCATATCTTTATCTTTAAGGTTGCATATCTTTATCTTTAAGGTTGCATATCTTTATCTTTAAGGTTGCATATCTTTATCATGCTCGCCACTTTTTTACTCCAGATTAAATTCTTTGCTTGTCACTTTCTTACTCTGGATTCTATTCTAATTGGACCTGCTTTTGCAGTCAACCTCCAACCATTATCATATTGTTGTAATGTTTCATTTCTATAAATACTATAATGGGCATTGTTCAAAAAATCTGCTTCTACCGTCTACATGTGTTTTATTTAAGTCTGTTAAACTCAATAAACAAGGAAAATACTGAAAGGACTATTAATTTTACTATTTATAATATATGTCAAAAAATTAGAATTTATCTTTTTTGTTTAAATTTTAAAATACCAAATCTGTTGATCTAAGTTTTGAATTTCAAGCCCATCATTTCTATTTTTAAATACAATATAAATCCTATATTACACAAACTTCAAAGTGAATATCATCTAGGAAAACAAAATTTAAATATATTCTAAGAATAAAATGAAAAAAAAAAAAGGAAAATCAACTAAGCAATTTTCATTATATTCTTACCTAAATGACCCTCCATAGCAGCCCAATGCAAAGGCGTCATACTTTCTTTATCCTGACATAAAATTGAAGCTTCATGCTTCAACAACATTTCACATACTTCAAATGAACCAGCAATTGAAGCACAATGCAATGGTGTCATTTTTGATTGATCAACAGCCTAGCAGTAATTAATTAAAAAATACAGTTTTATTATACCATAATTAAAAAAACAATTTTTTTTTTAAATGTTTTTTTATTTTTAAAAAACTCACACCATATTTTATATACATTTTTCAATACACAAAAATTACAATTAATCACCTCATTAACATTAATCTCTTTCTGCCTAAACTATGCTCACCCTTACGTTTTATTTTTATGAACATCACACATCCATCTACAACCAGATTTTAAAAATATCACATATCCGTATCATTGAAGATGAAATAAAATTAAAGCGTTCAATATCTTAGAAAAATGAAATTGCTTAGTAGTGTAAGTAGTCAGGGCGCTACATGTAAAAAAAAAAAGAAAACTAAACATTTTGTGTGAACATTCTAATTTTTGTACAGATGTTTTCTATATGTTTTAAGAAGTTAAAAAATCTTTACGGGCCACTTGGAAACTGCTTATAACTTTATTTATTGACAAAAATAGTAGAAGCTAAGCGAAGCGATTTCATCTTAAAATTTCCGCCATGTTGTTTAAAAATCAAAACCGCAAAGCATTTATTTCAGTTTTTACAAATTATTTGCAGGGGGGTAACAATTTTTAAAATAAAAAGTTTTTAAAATGTTTTATTTAATTAATAACATTAAAATTTTCTAAAGCTTGTTTGAAATAAAATTTTATTCATTATTTTTGTTTAATTAACGTTTTAAGACTAAAAATTAGTTTTAATGGTACAATTTGAAAAAGCAACCGCTCCCGTTTCGTGTCTACTTAAAAAATGTTTACTTTTTAAAAACTGTTTAATAAATAAACGTGTTTATTTGTTTTTATTTATTTAAAATTATCTAAGTAAATAATGTCAAGTGAAAATAAAAGTCTCAGTTTAGTTGCTACAAAAATAATTAATAATGCTTGCATACTTCATCAAGGAAAAGATACTAATTGTATTGACAAGCTACGTGGGTTTACTGAAAATGCGCTTTCGAAAGTGAAGAATGCTAGGTAAGTTACTTATTAAATGCGCAACTTAATTCATCTCTATAAAATTTTTAAAACAATTAAAAAATCACTAATAGCATGGATTTGTAAATAGTATTATATATATTTTTTATTATAGTCAGATTCGACAAGACTTTAAAATTATAAGTGTTCTAACTGATACATGCCCAACAACTCTCATGTTTCATCAAAGATGTTACGACAAATACGTACATATAAAAACAATAAGCAATATACAACATAAACAAGGTAGAGCAGAAACAGCCCACGATAGTGTATGCGTGGTTGATAAATTCACATCTGAGCGCAGAACCTCAACTCGAAAAAGAGATAGATCAGGTAAATTAAAAACCTTTGGGCGGGAAATACAAATCAAAACAAGCTACCCTCAGTTTTCCTTTTTTGACTGTTATATGTATTACCCTATTTTAAAGGTAAAATAACTCCATTGTTTTAGGAAAAATTATTGCAGATAAAGAATGCTGCATTTGCTATCGTAAGAAGACAAATAAAGATAGGAATGGATATGAAGCGCTAACAAAGTGCGTAACAGAAAATGCTGCAAAAACGTTAAAAGAAAATGCCTTATGTAAATCTGATATCCCAAGACTCATGGCTAGCGTATCGGGCGCAGAGTGGCAAAGTATTATCTCCTTAGAGTTACACTATCATCGATCTTGTTATGTTAACTACACGAGACCCCTTAGAAATCCTTCTGTTATTACAGAAAATACAATCATGTCTTTGCTTTTTGACTATGTAAGAGAGCACATTTTAAACAATTTAGAAATTATAGAAACAAGCAAACTAATTGAATTTTATAGCGAAAACTGCACAGATAGAGAAAAAATTCCAGATAGCAGGACTTTGCAGGATTCTGTTGTTGCACAATTTAAAGGGTCTGTTCAGTTGTGGTCACCAAAATACGGCTATTCTTTTTTATACAACAATACCATTGAGAAGGGAAAAATCATTGAAGTTCTTTTAAAGAAAATTGAACGCTTAGAAAAAAAGAATAATCCAAAACCAATCGAACAACTTATTGATCAAGTTGCCCAAGAGATTCGCAATGAGGTTTTATCTATGGAAAAAACATACTTTGATTGGCCTCCTAATGAGGACGAATTGCTACGAGTCAAGACTAAAATTCCTCCTCTTCTCCGTCGACTTTTTGCAAAAGTTCTATTTTGTGCTAGAGTGAGCAACAAAGGGCTTGTAAAAATAACTTCTCTTTGTGAAGATGTAATTTATAATATAACAAACGGCGATCATCGATGCTCTAAACACGTGTTACTTGGCTTAAGTACCAAACGAAAAACTGGGTCAAAGGAATTGATCAAATGGTTAAATAAATTAGGACATGGAATTTCCTATGATGAAGTAAACTATTTAGAGACAACTCTTGCACAAAATGCAATACAAAATCAAAATTTAAAAAGTTTTTGCCCTTCTGTTCTCCAGCCCTCAAGATTCGTGACCTTCGTCTGGGACAACAATGACATAAAACTTTGGGGAGGGGGAGGGGGAAGAGAAGCGCGGCTTCTTGCTCCTCCCCCTTAATCCCCTTCCTCTGTGACCTATATATATATATATATATATATATATATATATATATATATATATATATATATATATATATATATATATATATATATATATATATATACATGCACACACACAAACATACGCGCAAAATACAATTTCTTCATTATGTAAGCACGTCATCAAAAAGGACCCTCGAGTCCAATAACTACTTACCTGTTAAAAATCTGTACATGAGGTATTGATACTTTTTATTCAGAACGAGTTTACCTAACTTTTAACATAAATTTTTATTTTTTAATTTGACTTTTAAAAAAAATTTATAGTGTGACGTCATCAGTACCAAATAATGCCCCGAATTTGACCATTAAGCATTTTCAGAATGGCCCGTAAAGTTTTTTTCATTTAGGACATCAACCTTGAACTATTTAATTAGTTTTTGTAATGTCCACATCATTTCCAAAAAAAAATTACACGTAGCGTCCTGACTAAAGCTGATTTGAATGCTTTTAATCATTTGAATAAGTTAATTCTAAAAATTGTTAACTTAAATTTTTATTATTTAAAAAATAACAAAAATGTGTTATTGAAAGCATCAAAATGTAATTTACGCTTACAGACCTGATTGACATAAAACAGCTAAACTTGAATATTTTAATCTTGGTTTTATGGCTGATAATAACAAATATAAAATATTTTGAAAATTGTTTAAATAAAAATATTAAATATTCCAGAAAAATTTAAAGATTGGATAGCTAAAGAAAAACAATACAAAATTTTATATTTGATAAAAAATTATTCATATAATTTACCTCAATATGAATGTTCTTTTGCTTAAGTAGCAAATCCGTTGCAAACAGGTTTCCTCTTGTAGCAGCATAATGGAGAGGAGTGGAACCATTGATATCTTTAGCATTAACATTTACCTTTTGCTCTAACAAAAACATCAAAATAGAGTCCTTTTGTTTACTATCATTATTTTTTTTCCATTTAAACAGTTTTTTATTCTTTTTATTAAACTTCTCTTTAAAATGATCACTGAGATTGGTTGTTGCACTTATTGAACCAGCACTATTGTTTTTACTTAAACTAATTTTAGATATAGAAGTTACGTTTTTTACAGTTGGTATTATAAGTGCATCTATAGTTTTCATTTCAGCAATCTCTTCTTGATTTAAATTACCTACAATGACAACTGCACTTTTTTTTTTATCTTCATTTTGATTATGTTCATAATGATATAAAAAACTTGTTTTGGGTTTAGAAAAAATGCTATTTCTTTTATTGTATGGTGATTTAGGTTTTATACTAGAAGTATTATTAGTAACTTGATTAGTATACATAGTGCTGGATCCTTTATGAGAAATATCAAGTGAAACTTTTTTCTTTCGTGTAATTTCTTTACTTTGCTTTTTTGCAAGGTTTTTTGTCTTGTCCCCAAAAAATATATCAAAATGTTTCAATCCTTTATGTAAACTAAATTTCTGATAGGTTGTCATTTGCTGCTTGATTTCAATGTTTATTTCTTCATTTTTTCTCACTGTGTAACGAGATGCATAGTGTAATGGAGTAGCCCCATTTTCACCTGGTATATTCACATCTATTAAATATAAACAGTTAAACAGTTTAATACAACTTTGATGAGGATAATGAAGATAATATTGATAATGATGATGATGAAGTTGATGATGATGATAATGATGATAACAATTTTGACATCTCAATTTATAAACAAATAAATTATGTGTGTATATATATATATATATATATATATATATATATATATATATATATATATATATATATATATATACATATACATATATATATACATATATATATATATATATATATATATATATATATATATATATATATATATATATATATATATATATATATATATACATATACATATACATATACATATATATATACATATATATATATATATATATATATATATATATATATATATATATATATATATATATACACATGCGATAGTGGTGTACTGGTAAGAGCGCTCGCTTTGTAAACAAGAGGTTTGGAGTTCGACTCCCACCATGTCCCTGGAAGTACCGCGCTCAACTTAATTTCTCCGCGCAGCGACCTTGCTTGTCAAGGTTCGTGTTTCGGAGTTAAAGAGTTGAGAGAGGGTTGTACCACGATTTACAACAAAAAATAAAAAAATAAAATTAAAAAAAAATTAAAAAAAAATTAAAAAAATGAGTAGCCTCCTCGATTGTAGTGGCCCCTTTAGGCCTTGGGGAGGTAAATAATAATAAAAAAATGTATATATATATATATAAATATATATATATATAAATATATATATATAAATATATATATATAAATATATATATATAAATATATATATATATATATAAATATATATATAAATATAAATATAAATATATATATATATATATATATATATATATATATATATATATATATATATATATATATATTTATATATATATATATATATATATACATATATATATATATATATATATATATATATATATATATATATATATATATATATATATATATATATATATATATATATATATATAATAACAATAATAATTAGAGATTAAAGTGCCAAGTAAACTATGAGTCTGAAAAAGAGTTCTTAAAAAGTTCATATTTTAGTCTTTTTTTGAATGTTTCTATAGAAGTTGAGTTTCGCGTGTTATAAAGATAAACCATTCCAAATTCGAGGTGAAGTCATACAAAAAGGTTTTGAGCCTAAGGAGGTTTTTTGTTGACGACGTGAAAGTTGGCAACTGTCTAATGATCTTGTATTTTGTTTTGAAGTTTGGACTTCTAGGACTTCAAATAAATATGCAGGAGATTTTGATAATAAAATTTTATATGTGATAACTGATATTTTATAGATTATTCTTTGATGTATTGGTAACCAATGAAGAGATTTCAGCAATATTTCTGATTTTAAATGGAAAGGAGAATGGAAAACAATACAAGATAAGCTATTTTGAATTCGTTGGAGTTTTTTAATATTTTTTTGATAAGTGCCAGATAAAATGCTGTTACAATAGTCAAGCTGAGAGTTAACGATGCCACAAGCAATTATGTTTGCAGCTTCTTTGGTCAGACATGGACGAATGTGGCGAAGTGCACGAATATGGTAATTGCAGGATTTAATAATATTGTTTATGTGCTTGTCCATAGACAGCTTTGAATCTAGGATGACTCCAAGGATTTTTACTGAATTTATTGTAGTTATTGTGGTTCCAGAAAACGCAATATTCAAATCATTTTTATATTTGCTAGTTTGTTTTCTAGATCCTAATAAAATAGATTCTGTTTTGTTTGGATAAGCAGAAGTCCATTTTCTAGAAACCATGTTGTTACTGCATTAGCACACTCAGTGATTTTGTTGATGCTATCTTTGCCAGGGCTGAGGAAAGTATAAAGTTGGGTATCATCAGCATATTGATGATGATTTGTACCAAATTTAGCTATAATACGATATATAGGTGAAACAAACATGGAAAATAGAAATGGGCCTAATACACTACCCTGTGGTACTCCTGTTGAACTTGCTATTAGTCTAGAATTTGATGATCCAATAGAAACAAAAGATTTTTGAGAGTGCAAGTATGATGTTAGCCATTTTAATGCAATATCTGTGACACCAAAATCATTCTTAATACGGGTAATCAGCAGGCTGTGATCGATTGTATCAAATGCTGAAGATATGTCCTGAGATAGGAGAATAGTGGTCAAACCATCATCAATGTTTAGCAGGATGTCATTGCATATCTTTAAGAATGCTGTTTCGGTTGAGTGATAAGATCTAAAACCAGATTGTAGAGGATTGAAGTTGACAGATAATGTTACATGTGGACGAAGACGAGATAAAGCAAGCTTTTCAAGAATTTTTGAAATTGTATTGAGATTTGATATGGGGCGTAGATTTGTTAGGTCAAATTCTGCTAGTCCTGATTTTTTGGGAATTGGCGTTATTTGAGCAACTTTATATGAGGTTGGGAAAAGTTCCGGATTTGAATGAGAGTTCAGCAAGGTGAGCTATAATTGGACTGAATATTTCTGAACAAGATTTAAGGATGTTTGTTGGAATAATATCAAGTGGCGATGTCTTAGGTTTGAGAGCTCTGATTATTTTCGACACATCTTTAGATGTGAATGTACCAAGTGTTGTTAAAATATCTACAGGGGGAGATAACTCTGAGATAAATTTAGATATTGGAGTTTTTGCAAGCCTTTCCTGGATAGTGTTCTTTATAATTTCGAGTTTGCGTATGAAATATTGACTTATTATATCGCGTTTTGCTTCTGGTATTGTGTTATTAGTTTCAGAACTATTCGAATGTAGTAATTTCTTGGCAATGTTCCATAATTCTTTTTGATCACCGTATGCTGAATTTAGTTTCGCCCTATAATGACTACATATGGATTTGTGAATTGCTGCTGCAGCCTCATGGCATGCAGTTCGATATAATTTTTTATCTGATAAACTATTAGTTTTTCTATAACAACGCTCCAGTTTACGACGTCTGATTTTTTTATTCTTGGCATCTGAAGATAACCATTGATCATCGTGTTTACCAAGTCGCATTGAATATTTTTGAATGGGTGCTAAATGATCAAGAACAGTTGTTATATTTGATCTTATTTGTTCAGCATAATCATCCACATTGTTTTCAGGTGATAAGCAACATGGCATCACTTGCAATTCTTGTCGTGCTTTATAAACTTGTCATGCTTTATAAAATAAAGCATGACAAGTTTAGTTTTCTAAAGTTTCATTTTGAAAACCAAACAGTTTTAGTAATTGAAGGTTGATGATAAAGTTCTACCCGAATCATATAGTGATCTGAAATACCCTCATCAGTTACTTGGATACTCTTGAGTGAAATATCATCATGTCGATTTATTACAAGATCAAGCAAGTTGGCTATACCAGTAGTAGATGATATGCGAGTTGGAGATTGAACTCGTTGTATCATGTTGTAAGTCTCTAAAATCTCATTAAGTCTTGAATTGCAGGTTATTGGAGAAGTACCTGGACAGTTAAGGTCACCACACAGAAGTATTTCTCCAGATAATGTTTGAAGTTCCTTTAAGAGTTTAGATAATTTGAAAAATAAAATGTTTTTTAGAATGATTGGATTTGATCGATAAATAGCAACAATATTGTAGATAGTATTTCCCAGATTTAGTTTATACGTTCATAAGACAGACAGGTAGATGATAATGAGAGTAGCTTGACATTTAAGCCGTCTCTATAAATTACTGCAACGCCTCCTCCACAATGGTCTGATTGGCAGTATTGAATTGTTTTAAAGCCTGGTGGAGCCATATCTTCTTTAATTGCAGTAGGGTCGTCCAACTTTATCCAAGTTTCAGTGAGTATAAAAATATCTAGAGAATGATTTTGCACTATATCATGAATGATAGCAGATTTTTTCATGGCAGATTGAACATTTTGGATACCCAAGTTTAATGCAGAGGTTCTTTTAATTTTTATATGTAAATTATGTTGATTTAATTTCGATCCATTTGAGTTCACCTGATTGTATACCCCAATAATATTTTTTTCCATTGTGCACATTGTATCGTTGCCTCCCATTTGTTCCCTCAACCTCTTGAGCAAGTGCTGCATTTCTAGTATTTCTAACTTTTCTGAGTTCACTTTCAAACAATCTCTCATTTGCTGTTTTGTCTTTATTAATAAAAATATTTTTGAAGTTAGTACTGTCCTTTAACTTTTTGGAATTTTTAATTATAAAATTTTGAGTTTCTTTGTTCTCCAATTCAACTAAGATAAGGTCAGGTGGTCCTTCTGGTCTTTTAGCATTTTTAGTTAATCAAATTATTCTTTTTGCATTTGTTATTGAAAAATCTGGTTTAATTGCTTTTAGTATTGTTTCAATGGTTTGTTTATCATTTTCTTCATTAACTTGTTTGTCTAAAGTAGTATGATCAGCAACTCCACTTATAACGATGTTGTTTTGAATTCTATTTTTGTTATTAAACTCGCTACCACCCTGAATAACAGTGGATTACCTCTTGAGTATATATATTTACCTTGTAAACACAGTGTTGCGCATTTAATTTAATTTGTTTATTCAGAATTAGAAATTTACAATACAAAAATTCTAATGAAGTAGTGCGACACCAGGCATTACTATGCTGACAGCTTAAAGACACGTGCTGTGTCTCTTGTTTGTTATTTTTCCATCAATGTGATCCTTGAAGGAATTTAACAAGACTGCATATGCTCCTTTTGCAGGAAGTGAGTTCCATGCATTTATCACACGTTTAGTGAAGAAATGCTTCCTCTCTTCGCAGAGGAAGCATTTCTTTATATTTCTAATTTATATTATTAATCTTCGGTTGTGTCCTTGTAGGCAGTAATTTACTATTGATGGCGCGTACACCTGTGGTACGCCAAATTCTATTTTTTCGATGCCTTGAACGATTTTATTTTGCTGAATCAAATCACCTTGATTTCTTCTTTCTTCAAGAGTTGTGAGTCAAAGGATTTGGAGCCTCTCCTCATATGATTTATGTTTGATTTCTGTGACTGTTTTTGTTGCT